TCACAATATATATTATAAGGGGGAAATCTGGTAAAGAACAGAATGGCCAAAGTTTCTCAGGTGAGTGATGTGGCCCATGCCTCTTGTCTAGTTTTTATTAAGCCACAGTCAAGATTTAAAGTGGCTGAAAATCTCGATTTTTCAAACTTTTCAGGCTGTTGCCATAGCAACCGAGACACATAGCAACGAAATTTTGTTTGACATTTGTTTCTGGTGTCAAGTACTAAGCATGGGTGAAGTTTCATAAAAATCGGTGACCATGCGTGGCAACGAAGTTTAAGTGGTTACAGAGAATGGCTATTAAGTGTTAAATGTCGGATTCTATTCTGTGGCGAATGAACAATGAGTGAAGCTCCGCAGCCACAACAGTTTCTGTACAAAGATTTCGCGCTTTCAGGAAACTTTTACAATCATTGGACGAGTCAACTGTTTACTCTGAAAGGTGACGCGGGTTTCCCCATCGTTAAGAAATTCTACTATGCATGGCCAGAAAATTATGGCTGTACCCCAATATTGAAATTCCTTCTCACAGGCCTGAGAATGATGTGCATGTGCACTTTGAGTGACAGTAAAAAAATAGCACTGAATTAATATTAAATTCTTCCTCATGCGGTTTTTTTTTATCGTACTACATGTAATTATCTTCAGCTTTGGTAACGAAACCTACATAAATTCTTTTCGATTCATACGGGATAGGTATTAGACATGCCGCACAGGTAGATGAAGCCGCAGTGGATTATTTTGGAGCCCGGAGCCCCCCCCCCCCCCCATCCACTTTGAAAAACGTTTCTTCCTGTAGGCTTGTATCAAGATATTTGGATTGACGTATAATATTAAATGTTATGATGTACGTCATTAAGCATAAATACAAAAAACGTACATAAAGTTTGAAGTTTATCAAGAAAAAAAATATTAAATTAAGAAACGTCCACTATGCTCTATAAAATACTGTATTCCTGAAAGCAAGTGACGTAAATTCATCTTAAAAAGTTGTACGATTAATTATATTTATTCTAATTAAATTCAATATATGAATTTTGTTTCATGTACATATGTCATTACCTCTACAAATAACGTTACATTACCGCTAAATATAAAAGTATACATTACCGCTACATTGTCTTTTTGTTAGCCAGCTACTTTTGACTTTTGCGTGGACAGATTGATCTACATGTAAAATACAGCATATACAAGTATAAGTCCTGATTCCCCTGCTCTTTAAAACTTTAGTCCCTTATCCTTAATTAGCTAACATTTGAAAAATTCTTCAAGTCTTTGATTGTGTAAAAATTATATATATTTTATTAAACAGAAGATTGAACTCAATAACCCTCATTTTATACAATTATAGGGTATTAATGACACTTCCTAGTTTACTTTCCACAGCTTCAGTATCCCTGACGTTTTGTCAGTATATACTTGTTTGTGGTAAGCTGACTAGATCAACTTGTTTTTCCAAGGGAGGGGGGTTACTGGACGACGATATGTGCATATGAATACAATGTAATTATATTGAAAATATTTTTTGTAAAGCCCCTTTCTTCAGAAGAACAGAACCATGGTTAACCATATTCATTGAAGCATCCTCTGTTTCAAGTTTGTTCCATTCATCGCCCCCAAGGTAAGGGTGAAGCTACGCCCTAGAAGCTACGTTAGCAGCCACGACACATTATCTTTTTTTGAGCTTTTGACCTTGAGGTTTCACCCAATTTTCCACAAAAATTCCAAACTTTTACTATGGTCATAACTTTTGAATGGTTGATAGTAGGACTTTCATATTTCACATGTGTATTCTTTGTGGCAAGACTTTTCATTGGATACCTATAACTTTGGCATTTTGACCTTGACCTTGGAGATTTCCGAACTTATGAAAAACTTTAACCTTCGCCATAACTTTTGAACGGACTAGGGCTTTCATGTTTCACATATGTAATCCTTGGGAGAAGGCCTTTCATTGGATACCAAGAACTCTGACCCTTTGACTTTTGAATTTGACTTACTTTTAAAAAAACAAACCTTGAATATAACTTTTGAAAGGCTAGGGCTAGGACTCTCATAATTCACATACAGTGTGTATTTAATCCTTGTGACAAGATCTTTCATTGGATATCAAAAAACTTTGACCTTGACCTTGGAGTTTGACCTACTTTTAAAAAACTTTACATTTGGCCATAACTGTTGAACACTAAAGGCTAGGCTTTCATACTTCACATATATACTATTTGTGACAAGACCTTTCTTAAGAAACCAAGAACTTTTACCCTTTGACCTTGACCCTGGAGTTTCACCTACCCTTTAAAAACGTATCCTTGGTCCTAACTTTTGAACAGGTGGTGCTAGGGCTTTCATATTTAACAATCGCATTTCTTGTGAGAAGACCCTACTTTGAGTACTAATATATTGAATTTGCATTTAAGAAAAATTTAATCTTTGTTATGTTGCTTTACGTGGGCAAAAGTGTTTCACAAACACATCTTGTTTTTACATAAAAAATAAATTGTAAAACATTTGCTGATGAAAAAAATACAGAAAGGCCAAATACAACAATTCCGGTGAGTATTGTAACCCATGGACCTCTTTGTATGTCTATCTTATATGACATGTAATTGGCAATTTGCTCGTCTTATTCACACATCTTTGATTTTTTTTTGGTTTCAAAATATTATAGACATAAACAATCAACAAATAGTATATAAAATAAATCTTTTTTTTATGTTCTCGTAATCGAAGATTCGGGGTGTATAGTTTTTGCCCTGTCCGTTTGCCTGTCTGTTTGTCCGCAAAAACTTTAACATTGTCCATATTTTTTGATTGGATTGGGCTGTGGCTTTCATATTTTGCAGGTGTATTTGTGACAGGACCTTCCTTTTGGTACCTCCAAATCTGATCGTTTGACCTTGGAGTTTGACCAACTTTTATAAAAAATATATAAACTTTAACCTTGGCCATGACATTTGAACAGTTGGTGCTAGGGCTTTCATACTTCATATATGTACACATTATGAGAAGACCTTTCAGTTGGTTTAATTATTTTGACCTTTTGGCGTTGACCTTAGAGTTTGACCAACTTTGTAAAATACTACAATATTGTCATAACTTTTGAACCGTTAGTACTACGGTTTTCATATTTCACAGGTATATTCCATGTAAAAAGACCTCTCTGTTGATGCCAACAAATTTAACCTTGACCTTGATGTTAGACTTGCAATTTAGAAACATCAACCTTCGTCAAAAGCTCCCATACAGGTACATCAGTGTTTCACAAACGCATGTACATCTTGTTAAATATTTATTTTCAATCTTTCAAATAACTACTTCAATTTACAAATGCACTTTACACGTTCCTTTTGAATGACACATAATGTATACAAATGTATGCATACCCACAGCATATTTTCTCAAGAAAAAAAAGTTACACTGTGCATAAAAATACATCTACGACACGGATATGTGACATCTATTACATTTTGGTTAGGGAGGCATCATCAGATGTAACATCTTTTTTTTTTTTAGATAAGCTATCAACTATCATTTGGCAAAGAAAATTTCATACTAAAATAGTTTAAATTTTATCATTTTTGTATATCTTTATATGGAGCTGTTCTTCTAAAGGAGACTAAAATAAAAATGTATGTAAGCTTTCAAAAGCTTCCAATCTAAGTACAAAATTGAGCCAAAAATCCGTAATATTATGAGTTTTTTCTCTTTTAGTAAACGATCAAAACTTTTTGTTTTTGTATTATTTTGTTTCTTTATGTGACAACTTTATTACCATATGTGAAAATAAGAAAAATTTAAACATATGAAGCATATGAAATCAACTAAAATATCATAAAAATTAAAGAAAAATAGGGAAAATTTGGATTAGCCAATTTCCATTTTAGTTGAATTATTTACATCATCTTATAGGCCCTATATGGTAGCATCTTTTAATGCAAAATGAAAATAAATCAATCTTTTGAAAACCAAGTAGGGATCGCATGATTTGCAACAGTTATTTTTTATTCTCAATGTCCAGGAAAAAGGTTGACCAGACCTTTCCTCTAATATAAAGCGGTCAAATTTAATCTCATTAATATCATCACTTAGTGATACTGTCTTCTTGATTCTGTGAAAATTTCATTAATTTTTAGAATACAAGAAATATGAGAAGAATCCTACCTTAAGAACAACGCAATTTTTTTTATTCATATTCTTAGTCTTCTTTTTTTCTTTTGGTTTGTTTGGCCGCTAACTGAAAGCAAATGCCCTCGGTTTGAGTTAGTGAATGATCTTCTTGAACTGTTTCCGAAAATCTTTCGGCTCCACGATGCGTTTATACGCTTAGGTTCACTGGCCGGACAAAAAATGTATAAACTTTTACCCCATGTTGTGTGTTAGACGATCCTTTTTCTTATTTTATGTAGCAAGTAATGTATCATTAAATTATATTCGTTGATTTTTATAGTAATTATTTTTTTTTAATGAATAATTAATTTATTCGGGGTCTAATGTTTCACCGGTTATAAATGACGATAGCACAGTTGTGAAATGATTGAATTTTAAAATAATTTGCCTTAAAGACATTTGTAAAATTGAATCCATCTGATGATTAGAATTTTTCTAAGCGAGTTATGTAAGAGCAACTGAACACTTGTATGTGTAATTAGCAGCGGGACCAATATTTGCGTAAATTATTTTTTTTTCTTCGGATAGGAAGTGAGAATTCATCTCCAGTTTTCTTTATATTTAAAAACAAAGAATGTTAAAATGACAATTATACATTTTGTTTGTATGGAAGTAAATATGCGAACTAAAAGTTTCGTATTCTCATATTCGTATGTAACCCAAAATCTCAACTTTTTGCTAAGCGTTTTAACAAGAACACTGCAATTTTATGCATGCTCAAGATGACCGGCCATGTACTGCGAAAAGTTATCCCTGTATGATAAACAAAATGGAGATGTGATAAAATCTATTTTTAAAAAATAACCCTATTTATGATAAATAACTGGGAGATATATAATTACCGTATCATATGCGCCTCTCTAAACACCGCCGCAGTCTGCAGCTCAAGTATTGGTGTTGAATGTACTTTTTTTCTGAGAGAGACTGTCTTCACTAGGCTTGAGTACATACGACACATTCTTGGTACATGGCATCAGTAAACGGATTTTCAGGAACGGGAAGGACAGGTTATGAGAATGCCCATGACACGCGGGTGAAGTAAAATGTCGGATACCTGTTTTAAACTTTAAATTATTTTCGTGTCAGGTGGCGGTGAAGTAAATTCAAACATTTACAAGCGTGGACAAGAGGAAATGTTTACTTGTGAAATGTGATTTGGTCAACCCCTGTCCTGTTTCTAAATAGTATTATATTTGAAAGGTAAGAAATGATATGAAGGAGCAATCTTTATTTCTTCAGCGTTTGTCAATGAATTTAACAATTATAGTACTAGCGATGTTAGAAGACCTTCACACTTTGTCAGTATGGATAAAAAAGCGTTGTATAAGATGTAGATTGAAATCTCACATTACGTATCTGAGGGGAAAAATAAAACCGTCTGTCTGTCAGTCTTTAATAATTCAGAAGTGAAAAAAGAGATTTATTGTACTGGTCCACATCGACAAAGTAGGTAAAGACATTGTCCTTATTTATTAATTTTTAATTGTAATCAGGATTAAATTCTGCAAGTGGTTATCAAAATTAAAACTTAGCTCCCTTTCTAAGGAGGAATTCGTCAGCTTTTAGCATTTTTAATATTTTTTCATGAATCCAAATAAATTTGAATTACAATACTTCAGTAGGAACTTCAGGAGTAATGTGTAATGTACTAGCTGAAATTCCGCGCAAGCGCGGGGGAAATTTTATAATTTTTTTTTACTGCTAACAGACTTTTTCCAAAAACCATCTTTCAGATTCTACCGACAGTTTATTACACAGGCTTACAGCATAAGGAAATACTTCAGTCTCGTAGTTAGTTTAGGAACAGTCCGGACAGAATGGATAATTATAAGAAATACACTCCCTTATATTTTGTTTATTTTTTTAACTTCTACAAATATCTATTTCATGAAAGGCCTCCTCTCCTTACATGTTACAAATTTAAATTAAGCAACTTTATTCTGTTGTAGTATTGTGTTATACATCATATACTACGTGTGCTTATTGACATTTTCTGTTGTTGGAAACTTTATTTTAATATATGTGAATTATATTAAAACATTGAAAAAAGCTTAGTTTTCAACCACTATGTACATACAAACCTAAAAGGTATAAATAATTTTTAAAAATGAAAGACTGTATGAAAAAAAATCCACTGATATGTATTTATAAAAGCATGTGAATAAAATATTTTAAAATCAAATTGTACCATTTTATATGTCTAAACAAATAGCAATGGCCATCAATCGGCATTTATTTATAAAACATTAGCACAACTTATTAAGATATATTGACAAACTCATTGTGTTACCAATTGCTTAACATTTGATTTCCATGCCCATTCGATTCGTGATAAATAATCGCCGTGATTTTCTTTTTGACATCGGGTTCAATGCCATCTGACTTTCTAGAACTTTCAATAAAGACTGAGATCGGATATAGAGTGAATTCTGAATATAGCTTTCGGACATCACCTTATACCTAGTGTATTCCAACAGGCTTAAGTAAGAACTCTTGTGCAGCCGTTCTGAGTTAATTTGCAAAAGAAGAAGGTACAGTTTTTAGCTTATTGCGCCCTAAAAATGAAATGTTATCAAAAAGTTTTGAAACTGGCTTAAATATTAGTTAAGTATACGACTGTGATAAATCAGGAAAAAATATGACATGAAGGTTTACCATTCTACAAAAATGACATCATTAATGTGATGTATTTCTGTATTTTAAACAGAAAAAGCATGAAAATGTTCCATTTGAAGGGTAATTTTCCTTTACAAAATGTACAAAATCGCCCACGTTAATTTTTTGATATGTTGTGCAAAAGTCATAAAAAAATCACATATCTCAAAATCTTTGTTGGCGATGCCTGTGGACAATATAATCTGAAAGAAAATTCTTTTGAAATTGCTGTCTTCTGCAACTTTTTAAGAAAATAGGGAAAATGCACAAGTTTATGACGTCACAATTAGCATTTAAAAGCACCTGTGAAAAAATTATTTGTATGATTTTTCTGCTTTGAATTTCAGTTATTCAGAAAACATGAGTTTTCATCTTCTACACCAGTTTCATTTTTTAGAAAACGGCAGGGCAAATTTTTTATCGAAACCATACCTTGTCCTTTGTTAATTTATAAGTATAGATTCCAGAGGTGGTGTAAATCATAAATGGATATGTAAAAACTTCAAGGAACTTTCAAACTATTTGACAAAATTTTACCTAAATCAATAATATCAAACCGTAAAACTTTTCAACACATTATACCCTGTATAAGCACAACCATTTAAAAATTCTCCACGTTACATTAAATTCAAGGCTTTTTGACATCAAAGACAGCTGTTTTTATGCCCCCGTAAACGAAGTTTCGGGAGTATATTGTTTTTGTCGTGTCCTCTGTCTCTCTGTCTGTCTGTCCGCAAAAAATTAACCTTGCTTATAACTTTTGATTTAGTGTAGCTATGACTTTCAAATTTCACATGTGTATTCCTTGTGACAAGACCTTTCTTTTGATACCACAAAATTTGACCTTTTCACCTTGGAGTTTGACCCACTTTTACACAAAAATACCGAACTTTTATTTTGGCCATATCTTTTGAACAGTAGATACCAAGATATTTATACTTCACATATATACTTTTTGTGGAAGGACCTTTCATTGGAACCCAACAACCTTGACCTTTGAGATTTCCGTACTTGTGAAAAAACTTGGCCATAACTTTTGAACGGTAAGGGATAGAGCTTTCACACACATATGTAATCCTTGTGAAAAAACCCTTCATTGGATACCAAGAACTATGACCCTTTGACCTTGACCTTGGAATTTGATCTACTTTTAAAAAGCAAACCTTGACCATAACTTTTAAAGGGTTAGAGCTGGTACTTTCATACTTCATATATGTAATCCTTGTCAAAAGACCCTTCATTGGATACCAAGAACTTTGACCCTTTGACCTTGAGGTTGACCTACTTTTAAAAAGCAAACCTTGACCATTAATTTTGAAGGGTTAGAGCTTATACTTTCATACTTTACATATTTAGTCCTTGTGACAAGACCTTTCATTTGATATTAAGACCTTTGACGCTTTGACCTTGACCTTGGAGTTTGACTTATTTTTAAAAAAGTTTTAACCTTGGCTATAAATTCTGAATGGTAAAGGCTACGGCTTCCATACTTTACATATGTATTTTTTTGTGGCAAGACCTTTCATTGGATACCAATATACCTTGACCTTTTGACCATGACCATGGAGATTTCTGTACCCGAGAAAAAACTTTAACCTTGGCCATAACTTTTGAACGGTAAGAGATAGGGCTTTCATTATTCACATATGTAATCCTTGTGAGAAGACCCTTCCTTGGATATCAAGAACTTTGACTTGGAATAACAAGTTTGACGTACTCTTTAAAATCTTTAACTTAGGCAATAACTTTTGAAATGTTGGTGCTAGGACTTTCATACTTACCATGTATAATCTTTCTGACAAGGCCTTTCTTTAAAAACAAATTATCTTGACCTTTTGACCTTAACCCTGAAGATTGACCTTTTAAAAGCGTTAACCTGGGACATAAATTGTGATTAGGTGGTGCTAGGGTTTTATATTTCACATGCATTTGTATTTCTTGTGAGAAGGTCTTACTTTGGGTATCATCATGTTTGATTTTTAGAAATTTGAGAAAATTTAACCTTCGGTATGTTGCCATATGGGGACATCAGTGTTTCACAAACGCATCTTGTTTTTAAATGAAAAAGCAAATTCAAAGAATTGCGGTCCCTCATTTTCGGTGCCTTTGTGGGTGAGATATCATTATCTTTGGCATATTGATTGTTTCAAATATGAACGCCCTTTGTTATTCAAATCTCATATTAATTATCAAGTTGATTTATCTAAATTAGGTCAAACATGAATGTCAAGGGGTCAGAAATCATAGCATGCTCTGATGAAAGCCCTTTTTCTTCTTTTTTTATCAAAAGTTATATGGGAAAAATAATATTTTTGAAAAATAGGTCAAAACTAAGGGTCAAGGACAAGGGTCAGAAATCACAGTGTATTTAGAAAGGTCTTTTCACAGATAGTACACATGTTTAGTTAAAAAGCCCCTGTCTAACATGTATAAATCCTGTGACAAAGCCTTTCTAAATACACTATGATTTTTGACCCTGTGACCTTGACCTTGAAGTTTGACCTATTAAAAAAATTAAACATTACTTTGAACTGGCCATAAATTTTGAATGAGAAGAGATAGGACTTTCATGTAAGAGATGCCTATTACCTGTGACAAGATCTCCTTAATACACTATGGTTTTTGACCTTGTGACTTTGACCTTAAAGTCTAACCTTCTTTTACAAAATTTAAACATGACTTTGAAGTGGCATTAACTTTTGAAAGAGAAGAGTTTCGGCTTTAATATTAAACTTGTGTATTACCTGTGACAAGACCTTTCTAAATACATTATGATTTTTGAACTCGTGACCTTGAACATGACGTTTTACCTACTTTTGAAAAATTTAAACATTACTTTTAATTGACCATAACTTTTAAATGAGAAGAAAAAAGGCTTTAATGTTTAAAATACCTGTGACAAGATCATTCTAAATATACTATGATTTGCCCTCTCTGATCTTGACCTGGAAGTTTTACCTATTTTTCAAAACTTTAACCTTCATCAAATCATTTGAATTAGAAGAGATAGGGCTTTACTGAAAATTAAAATATCTGTGTGAACAGTTGATGTTTTGATGGATTCTTGAGCTTTCAAAATTACTTTTTGTTATGTACATATATGATTATGTCCAATTTATCCCCCTAAAGCAAAAATATCTCTACTTCAAAAAGGAAACTCTGCAACATCTAGAGTGATCTATTTTTAGCTCACCAGAGCTGAAAGCTCAAGTGAACTTTTTCTGATCATCAGTTGTCCGTCGTCCACCCGTCCGTCCGTCTGAAATCTTTTCAATTTTTCATCTTCTCAAGAACCACTACGCCAGTTTTAACTACACTTGGTACAAAGCATCCTGGTTGGTATAGGTTCTAAATTGTTCAAATAATGACCTCGGGGGTAGGGCGGGGACATAATAGGAAATCCACTTTTTACATTGAAAGGTATAGGGAAATTCTTTGACAATCTTTTTCTCAAGAACCACTTGACAAGAAAAGTTGCATCATATATGGAAGCATTCTTGAGTTGTGTAGATTTAAAATTTCTCAAATCATGATATCCAGGGGTA